ACAAATTGCAATGGCTCAACCGATTGAGTTTTACCTTTGATATTAATTATATCATACTCCAGTTCAATGTTTCGTGCCAGCATATACAAATCTACATAAAAAGAAAACATAAAGCCCACAGGAACAAGTCATTACGGTTCATGATCACTTACAGTAACTAGATACCGGAGGTCATTACCTGGGCCAGCCGTGTTCCGGTGAACCCTGTCTAATATGCACAAAGTTAATTAAGGAGACTTTAAAGTACACGATGAGAAAGCAAAAACTAAACCATCGCTGCAAAAACAAAAATAATAATAATAATTAATAAAAGTTAACTTTGTTCCTCAATGTCATTGAAGGAGAGATGATCATAAAAAAATGTTTCAGCCGTGTTCTGGTGAGCGCTGTCTAATAAACAAAGTTAATTAAGGAGACCTCCAAGTACGTGATGGGAAAGCAAAAATTAAGCCATCGTTGCCAAAAAATAAATAAATAAATAAAAGCTATCATTTTTTCTCAATGTCCTTGAACGAGAGATGATTATTAAAAATGTTTCAGCCGTGTACCAGTGAACCCTTTCTACTACACAAAGTTAATTAAGGAGACCTGAAAGGGCATGATGAGAAAGCAAAAATGAGGCCATTGTTGCAAAAAAAAATAAATAAATAAAAAAATAATAATAAAAGCGAACGTTTTTCCTCAATGTCCCTGAACGAGAGATGATTATCAAAAATGTTTCAGTCATCTAAATATAGCTCGATAAAGTCGATTTCCAGTGGTTACTTCTCATCGTTCGAAAAAAGGGAGCACTAAAGTTGGCGACTCAAGATTTAACCCGACGTAGGTACTCCTAAATAATTGGGAGGAGCCTTCAGGCGTGCTAAGGGAAAGGGTAAGTCAACTTTATTTTTAAAGAGGGTGTACACATAACAGCTTACGCTGACAAACCAGGGGCCCTCAAAACTAAGGATTAGTAAGTAATATAAGCAAATCTAGAATTAAAAATTGGAACTAGCCCAACAAAGTAACTATTAAAAACAGATATAAATAGAATATATAGAATAAAACATATATTACAATATGGCCTCAAAAGAATAAATGTCTCTATAAGAATCAATAAAATAATTTCTCAAATCTTTTCTAAAAGAGGAAGTGCTGCGTTTTTTCTTAAGCTCATTTGGCAAACTGTTCCATAACTTGACACTACGAACTTGAAAAGACCTTCTAGCCTCAGTAATATTACGAAACTTAGGACAGATTAAATTATATTGGCCATGTCAGGTATCTCTACCGTGTATAGAGGTGGTAGGGAGAGGAAGAGGCGGTGGTGGTGGGGAGGGGGGTCGGGCAAGGGATGGGGCATACTAAAAACACTTTGAGTGCCAGAGTGTGGGTCATTATTCTCGGCTATTGGTCTTTCGATGCGCTTAAATGAACAACAAACACTTTATGCATTGATTTTGTTTGGCACACGGCCTGCCAATACAACTGAGGGTTTTTGTACTAAAACCCTATCTTAGCTAAATAAATAACAATACTGCGATGACAACATTTGTGCAACATTTTCATAGCCATGTTATCTCGACCTGTGTTTTTAATTACGGGGTTGTGGTTAAGATGGGTGGGGAGGGGGGGGAAGATGGTTAGTAGAAAACAGGAGGGGGGGGGTTGGTTAATTAATGTCCCTTCTCTCCTCCAAATCTTTCAGTTCTCCTTCTGATGTAGCTCCATAATTGGTCAGGTGTTATAAGACAAATATCAAGAGGTCAGCGTTGCCGGCCCCAAACGGCCGCCAAGGGAGGAGGGCTCGTGAAGGCTTATTTAATTGATTAAAATCAGTTAGGTTTCTTCTTACAAACAGCTTTAACTGCCCCCTCTTTCCGACCCTCGCTGAAACTCGCTATCCTTCTCGGTAGGTAGCCCGGTTATTTGTGTTTCTTTGTAAAAAAAAAGAGCGTTTACAAAGTATTCTCATTCAAAATTGGGTCATAACTTATGCAGGAAAGACTCCAACTATCCTGCGAGACGGGATGCAGAAGGTGTCTCCAGTAAATTGCTCTAAGGGTGCGATGCTTACGTTTCAAACGTCCGGTCGGAGTTTATGCCACCTTCGATAAGCGTCGATAACGATGAAGCAGTTAAAAAAAAAAACATCTGTTCTTTGAATACTTTACATAATGCATCGGTGTTGACGTCATAATATGAGACCCTCTAGCGAGAATCTCTCTGGGCATACTTTGGCCTAATTCAAGTCCTAAAAAAATGCTGTTGTTTTGCTTTACGAACATAATAAACTCATATTTTTAGCGACCGGATTTGCCGTGACACAGAGCTTGGATTTAAAATAATCATCAAGAAATATTGCTTTGTTCTCCCACAGCTGGATTTCAAATACCTTTCAAACCAATTTTTGTGAACTAACCATTCGTGGAAGGTGACGATTGTTAGTACGTGAGATGAATATTTTAAGATCGTTATTTGGGCTACAGAAAAACAAGTGATGAAAAGAGAAATTGTCGATATTTGTTACCCCAATACCATCGTGTGGGTTATTTTTAAATTGTTTAATATATCGATAAGAAACTTGAGCAACTATGCCATGGTAGCCAAAGTTAGCTAGTCTTCTCTGACAATCGTGTCAGTAAAACCAGATATCTAATGATCTATGAAGAACCCTTCTGGTCAATTGAAATTAACGCAGGATGGGAAGCTAAATTCAGTACTCGTAGTTTCGAATTCCTTTACGATATTGCCTCTTTCTTCTTTAAATCCCTAGTCGGGTGCAATACCATAAACTGTCAAAAGTACCTTTTTCACTTTGGTTTTTTAGATAATTATTTTCCAAGGTTTTGTTTGGACACTTGTAAACATGTTTCACTGAGTGCCGAACTTTTCGTTAATATGTGTGTTCTCTTGAATTTATGGCTGTCCTTGAACTGATCCTAACAAATAATGACAAATTGTCCATTAGATTCAAGCTTCACTTGAAACATTTTTAAATCTTCACAATTGCAATAAATTATGTTTGCTTTTAACTCATTGAAAAATATATGCTCATTTAACGTAATCCAATTTGCACTTATTTGTCCGTAAAGCAATTAACTGTTACTTAGCTTTTTGATCTTGTGTAAGATATTGCGAAATTAGATAACGTTCTAAGAGACTTTTCTCAATATAAGCTTTCCTCACTCCTTATTAAACGAGGGAAATACTTTACCTTAAAATATATTAGAAAAATCGACTTAATATATCATCTTAAGTGCTACGTAATTTTTCCTTTAAATGTAAATGTTCTGCTAAAGACTTTAGTCAAACACGCATTTACATAATTAACTTTTCACTGTTACAATTCGCAGAAGCATTATCTTCTGATGATGGTGCTTGTTCAAAAGTTGTAGATATACAGCTCACTTAGAGCATAACTTTCTTCAAAGTGTCAGTTTGGATTTTATCAGCCTCGTGCGCAGTCTGTAATGTCTTCTTTTAGTTGATACAAAGTTCAGGCTGGCTGACTTTCCGGTAGTCATCCATCCATTAAACCTGCCATGTGTTAGAGACTATGTTTCTATCGATTAAGATGAAATGACGGCATAACTCTCTTTTTCTTTTCTTATTGTTGACAAGAAAGCTCAAGACTATTCCTTTGATCCAGGCGACACATTCGGTCTTTGCTTATCTAGACCGAGAGTAAATAAGACTTTTGTAGTTAGTTGAGTAGCAGAAGTCACAATTCCGTAGAGCAGAAATTTGTAGTTAAGACTCCATCTTGCGCCACAAACGTCTCTGACCATTCCTCTAGGAATATACATGTTGTTTTATGTCTCACGTTAGATCTCAAGCCAGACTTTTTTCGCGAGAGGGAACTGTTTCTTCTCTTGAGTTGAGCTGTAGCTCCAACT